TTCTTCAGGTCACTACCTGAGCCGCTGCTGTTTTCCTCCCGGCCAGTCCGCGTCTCTGAACGTCCGAGTGTCTGTGTTCGTCCGTCTTTGCATCTTTATCTTCAGGTCACAATGTTAATTGCCCTTCCTTGAAGTCTACCTGCCTCTCCCTGTATCAGGAAGGGTGTCCCCTGCTCTCTCCACCTCTTTCTCCCTCTCGCCTGCCCCGTGCTCCCCTGTCTCTCCGCTTTGTCTCCTTCGACTGCCTGGGAGGCCATGTCTCCTGCCTGGGAACGCGCATCCCTGAAGCAGCATGAGCACGTCTTTCCTCCGTGTATGGTGAGTTCACGTCTGGCAGGGTGGTGCCGTCTGCTTTCTTCCCAGGAACGTGTGTATGTAAGTATCTAAGCCTATGTCTCAGGCCTGTGGGTTTTCTTATGCCTATGTATTTTTTTTCCTTTTTTCTTTTCCAGGGAAACCTTGTTTTCTCTTGGCCTTTGAGGCCCAGGCTGAGTGGGTCTGTCTTCATGACTCTCCACAGACGTTGGAGAATGCCAAAATGTTCTACAGTGCAGCCACACAGACACACACAAGAATCCCTCTCATGGGGGACAGAGATTTTTGGTATGTTCATTTCAGTTACATCAGCCCCCACCACCTCACTCGTTACTCCGGGGGTTTCCGTAGTGAAATCAATCAAATGGAATCTTAATGGGCTTTCTGCCCATTTTGTTCTTGGGAATGCCATGATCTATAGTCCCAAACATCTACTCAGACCATTTCCGGATTACTGTGCTCATTTCTTACTGTGCCCATTGGCTGCTGCACTGATCCCAGCTGACCGGGCCTACCAGTGCTTGGAAGGGGGCTTCAGGATAGACAGACATTAAAGCAGAATGGTTACTTTTCCAATAGAGTCCTGAAGCATCTCTATGTTCAAAAAATGTGCTACTTTGATGGTGTTATTCTGAGGGGCTAAGCCCTAAACGGTCCAGGAGCCTTCAGCCTACTCCAAGCTGCCGAGTAGGATGTAGGAAGCCCTGGGGAAAACCAGGACTCCTCAGAGTTCAGGTATGTAAGGGCAGGCCTCGCACGGACCATGAGCTCAGCAAGAGGAGGAGAATGGGGTTGGGGGGTGGATGGGTGCGGTAAGTCAAAGAGTGCCAGCTAGAACTGTCATTTCTCGTCTGGGAGAGAAAATTCAGTTTCTAATGGGTGAGCAAGGTTAGTAAACTTCTGATCCTTGGGCCGAAGTTGCTGATCCCGGCTCTGTTCCACACTGCCTCCTGGGAGTGGGCGGTACGCTCCAAGTCTCGAGAGCTGCCTTCTAAAGCAGCCTGGCTGTTTGTCCTGCTCCACTCTGGCTTCTCTAGGTTCTCCCTCAGCAACTCTCTAGCCCTTTATTCCCTCTGAATGTCAAGTCTCATAGATTTGACCTCCCTTTGTTCTGCCAGCTCTAACCTATCAGCGTTTTTGTTTTTTTAGTTCACCACCCTTGATTCAGTGACCTTTGGGTCATTGAGAGTTAGGCATACGAGCTTGCTCTGACTTTCACCTAGTAGTGAGATGGAGGGAAGTTAAAACTCACCAAATGGGGAGTTGATCCTTTCCACAGGGCACACCCGTCTGCAGAGGGTTTGCACGTGGGGACCGATCCAGCACCCCAGGCTCCTCTTCCCCTCGCCTTGCCAACTAGGGTTCTCTTTCTTAGCTTCTTTACCCTTTCTTGATGCTTGCTCTTGGTGAATGGGCTTCTTAATCCAGCCAGACACCCTATCCCAACATCCTGATTATTTCATTTGGGCCTCAATTTCCTCTACAAAGGCCCAGAGAGGAGAAGGAACAGTACAGTAAAAAGAGGGTGGGTTTTAGATTCAGGCAGGAGTGGATCTGGATCCCGCCCTCTCCACATACTGAGTGCACAGATTCGGCACATTCACCTTCGTGTGCTTCACCTTAATCTTTCTATGCTTCATTTCCCTACTGTCTTAAATGGCGATGATAATATTTAATCACAGCTGCTGCACTGGGTTGTTGGGGTGATTGTCAGGTAATCTACAGGCTCATCTCAGGACACGGGTAGAAGGTGACCGGTCCGGGTTGGTTTCCTTCCCTAATAGTGCCTGACAGTTAGACATGATGAATGAATAAATTTACAATAACAAGGTGATAAGAGCTGGGAAAGGTAAGTCGATCCAAAGTGAAGTTATTTTAAAGTGAGAGCTACATTCGATGGGGGAAAAATAAAAGGTTCTGGTTTGGGGGGAGCATTTTAATCGGAGACAGTGCCTTTGAGATCCAGCCATGGTCGGGGAAGGACAGAGAACTGTCCTGTTAGTCAAGGGATTGGGACCTAAGGGATTACAATGACCTTTTTTGAAGCAGGAACTCATTGGAGTTCTCCCTGAGGCTGTCACTGCCCCAACCAGATGTGCTCCTGGGGCCACCATCCCATGTTACTGGCTGTGTGGCCCTCCCACTTGGTGAACCCTGACCCTCAGCTGGTCCAGTGCTAGTTTCTGAATACTGCCCTGGCCTTTCTGATCCTGCCTTTTTCCTGATTCTGTGGCCCACCTTTGAACCTTTTGGAACTGATTTTGAACTCAATCCTTTTGTTAACTTGGTTGAACGTGGTCTCTCCATCTTTCTCCTTTAAATCCACCCTGGGGATTGGCCAGTGTGGTTCTTAACCACCCAGTTCCATTCCGATGAACATATTTTTCTTTTGCATCCTTGGTTTCCCTTTGTTTCTTCTCTCGACCTCTGCAGATGGGCACTAGCCTAAATATAATGATGTTCAAAGTATAAAGAGTAACGCCTCATTCTTCTTAAAATTCGTTTACTTAATGTGCGTTTTTAGAAACCACATATGCAAAGGCCGAGTCTCTGCTCCTAAGCAGCCCTCGGTCTGACTGAAGAGAGGAAGGACGAGCAAGCAGTGACAGCAGTGTGATGCGTATTAAGCTGAGACCAACACAGAGTGGGATGCAAGCATGGAAGGGAGAGCATGCCTGGGGACCAAGAGAAGGCTTATTGGATAAGGTGATGTTTGAGTCGACTTGTGTAAACAGGCACTCTGCTCCGTGGTGGAGAGGAGGAAGGAGGAAAGACATGCCAACAGCGGGGATGGCATATGCAAACATGAAAGCACAGGCACACTCTGTTCAGGGAAGAACAAACGGCGGGCTTGACATGAAGTGTGGTAAAGACATGCCAGAGAAGAAAAGGGAAAAAGAACTGGCAACTATGTAAGGTGATGGCTGTTAGCTTGACTGTGGTGATCATTTCATAATGTATGTGTATACTGAAACATCAAGTTGTACACCTTGAATATATATAATTTGTCAATTGCCCTCATTCAGACTGAACAAAATCCTTTAAGGAGCCCCAACTCTGGAAGTACAGAGCCCAAACTCCGTAGCACGTATAGCCTCCTTTGTGATCTGCCTGCCTGCCTGGCTTCCCACTTCCCCCAGCTGTCTAGAAGCTCATAGTTCTTGAAATTTCTCCTATGGGTATGTTCTTAGCTTGGGTGCATACATCAGAGGAAAATACACATGCCTCTGTATCATATTCAATTAATTATCTCCAAAACATCTGGGAAATAATGTCTAAGAATGACCACATCTTTCCACCCAATGGTTACTGCCAGGGTAGGGTGCCAGCTGCTGTAAAGTGACAGCAGGAGCTTAACCTGTCCGGCAGTCAGCAGTTCCTGTTCCTGTTCATATGGTGTCCCTTTTTGGAGTGTTTGGTTTTGGGATGTTTCAGAAGTTCTCCCACCCCAAAATCTTGGAAGATAGGGATGGGGATGGAGATGGGGATGATCCCTGTTTGCAAAGAGACTAAAACCAGTGAAGTCCATTCAGTGGAGTTCTGGCTCAATTGCAGCAGTTCCCAAACCTGGCCAATCAGCAAAACATTCAGGGAAGATTTTTTGTTTGTTTGCTTGCTGTTGTTTGTTAAAGTGTCCCATGTGATGGTGATGAGGCCAGATTTGGGACCCTTGATATAAAAGTGGTAGTTCTTTACTAGAAGTTTTTTTTTTTAATCATAATCACCTAATGAGTTTTATGAATTTGCCCTAAGCCTGTGGAATTTTCATGGTGTGGGGGTCAAACAGAACTCCTGGAAAAGGCTCCTTGCTAATTTGGATGCCTCATGATCATGGGGACCCTCTGATCAACATGATCGACAGCAGTGGTTTTAAAACATCTTTTATCCTACCTTCTTTCAATAAAAACATTTCAACAAGTATCCCCAAAATGTGTGTTAATATATAAGTGTTTTATTCATTTATAAACTATATGCATGTACTTCCTCATAATATGCAAAAAACAGACATTTAAAAGAATGAGGTAAAAATAAATATAATGAAAAGTTCTAATATTTCATCTCATTCGCCATCTGAGCATCCCACTGTGTGGACCTCTACAGAAAGAATGGGACCAGTAGTTCCTTAATTGGACCTCAGCTCTCACTTAGATTTTATAGTCTCTGGTAGCTGTCTAGAAGAATGGCCTCCCCCGCCAACCCAAATACAACACTCTTACTCATTAATTTAATTCACTCAGTCATTATCATGTTCCCATTATGTGCAAGGCATTGAATGAGGGGCTGAGGATACAGTGGTACACATGGCCCTTATAATGTCAGCTTATATAATGACAGCACAGAAATATTAAACAAGTGATTATTTAATAATTATGTTGTCATCATTTTAATGGGTGCAAAAAGTAACCTAAAAGAATGACCCCATTTGGAAAGTTAGAGAAGTCAGCAGTTTGGAAATCATATTTCTGCTGAACTCTAAGGATGAATAGACATGATTAGGCAGAGAGCATGGGGAAGAGGGTTTCAGGGGGAGGGAAAGGACACACAGGAAGGTCACTGGTTCATTTTAGGAACTGAATGAAAGCCAGAGGGAAGGACAGTGGCACAAAATGAAACTGCTGATGTCAATGGGGACCAGAGATCATGGGGGCGTAGATTTGGGTCTTTATACTGAAGGCAGGGGAAGATATTGAAGGATTTAAAGCAGGGAGGTCACTGGGTCAGATCTGCATCTCCAAATGATCACTGCGGAGTATAACAAATTATCTCTACTCTTTCCCTTCCTATCTTGGTTGTACTCAGACACCTCTGCTTTCACAGTGCCCTCAGCTTACACTTTCCCTTTTCCTACTTTCTGTAGACTCTTGAACATCCGTCAAGATCCAACATGGAGGTCATTTCTTTGGTGAAGGCTTCCCTCTTCTCTGTTGCAAACTTCCACATCATTTGGAGCTAATCTCATAATGGCTCTTCCTAGGTTTTATTATAATTTACCTGCTTAACTTTTATTTGGGAAGAGCAGGTGCAGAAAATTGAATTAATTACAGTCTTCTTGGAAACTGTCGTCTCTGGCTCTTTTGTTCATGTTTCCTACTTAGCTTACTTACTTCTTTTTTATTATTTAAAAAGCTCTGTATTATTTCTGTGCACATATTTTTAATTTACATAAATGCTGTTGTGCTATCAAACTTATGATTTTCACTTTTTCCAACTGGAATACATTTTGAAGGTCTAGTCACTTTTCTTTGTGAACCCTTATCCCTTCTATTCTTATATTCCTTTTGCCCTGTTTTCTTTCAACCACCTTTAACTTCATCTTGTGTGTTAACATGTATGTGCATATGTATGTTTATGAGCCATATTATATTCTTTTTGGTATGAGAAACACATAAACACATACTGATACATACATAAATGTTTATATCAGATATTACACTGGTAGGAGGAGGGAGTTAGGGTCCCAAGAATTCCTCTGATGGGGGCTTAAAGTTAGATATTTCTTCAACCATTTTTATACATATATATTTTTCTCTTATTGATGAGAAGCTGGAAAAAGTGCATTGTGTCCTGATTTTTTTTTTTTTTGTATCTTAGCTTTTTTTAGACTAAAATCTCATCACATTACTGAAAGAATGAGCTGGGTCTTTATGTATCACCTCTCCTTCTGACGGACATAATAAAAGGCAAAAACAGATTACCACGTGCTGGTTATTTTGAACTCAGAAATGATCTTAGTTCTGCCCTGTTGGTCACACTCCATCTTTCCCTTGTGCTGGTAGAAAGTCACTGGCCTTCTCCCTAATCTCAAGTCCTTGAGGACCAATTCTGGAAGTGTCCTGTCCCAGCTCTCAAAGTCCCCAGGGACCGTCCCTGGGCACAGGTGTACCTCTTCCACCCTTATCCATATTATCCAATTCTTCTTCCAAATGTAGCCACAACCCCCTGAATGGTACAGCAGGCTCTCTATCCCATTCCTAAAAGTGGGCTCAGAGCATCCTGTTGTAACCATGCCCCTGAGCTTCCATGTTCCTGCCCTTCCATCCCTGTGTGACAGAGAGGTCGTGGTAACAAAAGGGAGGGGGAGTGACCAGCCATGTATCGCTGTGTCAGAGTTCTGACTGCTCAGGCGGAGGGCAGAAAAAAGGAGCTAAGAACAAAGATGAACAGAGAGAGATGCTGTTCACTTCAGCAGAAACATCCTTCCAGTTCCCTTATGATAAAAATATTCCTGCTTGCTTGGCTCCCTCCAGGCAGAGATACTGAAGACATTAACGTCATAGAAGCAAAACATTAAAAAGAGCTAGGAGGACAATTCAACCCTATCCTCTTACTGGTGATCAAATTGCTCCAGAGAGGTTGTGACTTTAAAGATCACACCCGTAACTCCTCAGCAGTGGCCAGGAGGGCTTAGCGTCCTCCTGAGTACTCAGGCTACCAGCTAAAGCCATTGAGCTCTTACTGTAGATTGTCTGCATTCACTACAATATGACTATGCGTAAATTCAAGGCAGGATGCTCGCTGTTGCCGGATATACAAAGGCAATTATGACATGCACTCTGTCCCAGGAGAATTTGGAACATTTAGATGCAAATGATAATATTCTAAAGCAGCCTCTGGTCAGTCCAAAGAGAGGTAAAAATATCCTTGCCAGGGGAATTTAAAGAAAGTACGATTAACGTAGGCAAGAGTGAAAGGCTCTATGGAAGAGGTGAGTCTTGATCTATCCCGGGAAGAAAGAGTGGGTGGGGGTGGGAGATACTTCCCCACGATGGTTGACACCCCGCGCCACTCCTTAATACCCAGGTCCCGTGCCTGACAGTGGTAAGAGCAGCACTTTGGAGAAGCAGTAGGCTGAAAGGTGAGCAGGAGGACTTGAGGCATTGGCTCAGGCATGTGTGGAGGTGTTGGAACTGTTACCGCCTGGAACAATCTTCACCCTTGTGGCCCAAATCAACCTTCACCAGAAGGCTTCTGCACCAAGCGCTTCTTTGACAGATTCATCAACAGACCTGGTGTCCGATCAGAAGTCTATTTTGGATTCCTAGTTCCTGGAGGAAATGGGAGTTTTCTGCTTGGCAGAAGCCATAGCGCCATCTTGTGGACATAGATGCTTTAATCACAAGCCTTTTTGTTCTGAAAATACTCGTCTTTGAAAAAAAAATCCATCATGGAATGCACTCTTGACTCTAGATCATGCTTGGAATACACAGTTTATGAGTAACAAAAGGTTTCTCATGTATTCTAACTCCTGTTAGCAGCTCTTCATCACTGGCAGCTTCTTCCGTTTCAGAATAATCACACATACTTAGGATCCAATCTTCTCTCGTCCCAGACTTGTTCCTTTTGGGCTGTGTGTCCTTGGGGCTGGGTTTTAACCGTGTCCCAAGGGATCCTGTCTTTGAATTTAGCAAAGCAACTCTAAATCCTCAATGAAAATAAAGTAAAGGAAGAAACCTGGGTGTCATGACTTTTTTGGTCTCCAGAGGAGTTTGGAAAAGGAAATTCCTTATTTAAGGAGCTAAAACACTGTAATGGGGAGCTCAGGGAAGAATTCGTAGCTTCCAGGAATTTATGGAATCATTTTCTAGAATTTTTACTGGGGTCCACTAAAACATTCCTGAGAATATTTTATTTCAAATCATAAGTTCATTGCATCACTGAATAACTAATAAGACTTTGAAGTGTGAGTACACTACCCTCCAGTGGAGGGGAAAGATGCCCAGTCTTCTCAGTCTCTCTTCACTCCAGTTTGGTCTGCATCAAATGTGGAACTGATCTCCCTGCCAAGGTTGGGAACTTCAATAGGCTGCCCTTTGTAGAGTCTCAGGCTTCGTTAGAGTTTTAGGTTAGTGTGAATTTGCATAAGTTGAAAAATCTGTTTTAGCTTTTTCAAAACTTGTATTTTGAAAAAGTTACACATTGACATGTTTCAAAATTTAACAGTATAAAAGTTTTCCTTTCACACATGCCTCCCAGCTATCTAGTTTCCTTCTGCGGATGCTCCAATATCACAAGCTGTTTGTGAGATGCTTCCAAAAATATTTGGTGCTTATAGGAAATCTATCACATCAATGAAAGCCCAGAATGTATTTTGAAGCTTGCACTTTTAACTTAAAAACATAGGCTGGTGATTGTTCTATAATAACAGTACGTAAAGAGCTCCTTGTTTATTTTTCAGCTGTACAATATTCTGTTGAATGGATGTAGCATAATTTATTTAACCAGGCTCCTATTGAGGTAGTTTCCAAACGTGTGGCAGTAAAAACGACGCTGCAGTGAATAGCCTTTGTCTTTTGCTTTACACATGTGCCAGTCTACCGGTGGGGCATATCCCTGGAACTGGACATGCTGGGTCAAATGGGAGGGTCAAATTTGAAACTGTGGGAGACACTGGTTAATAGTCCTCCATGGAGGTCATTCATACAAAAGCATGTCAACGTATGACACCCCATGCCCTCCCTAACTGTGTTGTTTAAACTATTTGATTTTTACCAACCTGAGAGATGAAATATATTTCAGTGTGGTTACTGCTGTTTTTACAGTTTTCTTGTTATGAATTTCATTATATGAACTCAGATTTTCCATAAGACGTGGTCACCTAGTCAATTCTTTTTCTCTAATTTTTCTCCAGTTGTCAAATACGATGTTTTTATAATTGAAGTACTGGAGTGTAATTGATTTACAATACTGTGTTAGTTTCAAGTATAGAGCAAAAGGAGGAGAAGATATATATATATATATATTTCAGATTATTTTCCATTATAGGCTACCACAGGATATTGAATATAGTTTCTTGTGTTATACAGCAAATCCCTGTTGCTTATCTATTTGGTGTATAGTAGTTTGTATCTGTTAATCCTATACTTCTAATTTATTTCTCCCCCTTTCCTCTTTGGTAACCATAAGTTTGTTTTCCACATCTGTGAGTCCGT